CACAAGTAGGTGATTTTTGAGATTAAGATACAAGTAAGCAGAAGCAGTATTAGAAATTTTGTGGGCTTCGACATATACTTGCTGTGAAAATGGGAAGTCACATTTTTATAGTTTTAAGCTAACACTTAAATCTTCAGAGTAGGCTCCTGTTTATAGGATAGTATTTTTTCTTTCAATCCTTTTAGTTGTATTTAACTCTGACAAGAATCACACTAGTTTTAACACAAAACTAACAGAACTCAACTCACAATTCCAGAGTGGTATTCAGGATGTGAAAGACGGTAAAGGAAGTTTATCTTAGCATTTCTTTCACAAAGAGGAAAAATAGTACTCCAAAGAAAAAAAACAATAGGAGGATTAAGATAAAATTCCCCTTCTCCAAAGGGAATAACAACAAAAACACTAGGCCTGTAATTTGGCTCTATCATCTTAATGGAGAACAAAATGTGAAGGAAAGTAGCATGTAAGAAGAAACTTGTCCACTTTTAGTCAACAAGCTCTTTTTAAAGGCATCGTCTGCCTAAGACTCACATCTGGGAAATAAAAACCTTACAGAATGTCTTATATGAGCAGAGACCTTCAAGTTGGTAAAAGAAATGTAAAGAGGTCTTTGAGGATGACTTAGGTATTTTAAAAAACAGACAATATACTGTCAAACTGTGGCTCTCGTAGAAGTCCCTTGCCTCAGTAACCAGGCAGGCTTTAGAGGCATTTCCATGCAACGACACGCCATCGTTCTACTACAGCTAGAATTTGGGATTCCAGAAATTGCACTTGTTAGAAACAATAAAAAAAACCTGTTGCAGCTGTCTCTAAGGATAAAGAGCAAAACTGTAACTACTTATATTTTGACAGAGACATTTCAACAAGACTATATACCTCTGCTGTTAAATTCAGTACATCTTTGGGCCTTCAGAACTGATGTTAGTTTGTTCAGCGATTTCTGTTGCTCCAAACTAAGATTGCTCCCCAGTATACCAAGAGGTCCATCTCTCGGCTGGCTGGGGCTCAGTGCCTGCATGAAGAGAAAATCCTACAATTAGCTGAATGTAGGGAAAAAACTAGTTTGACAGCTTTAAGAATAAGCATTTTGGAAAACAATTCATGGCAAGCTTAGTGGAAGGGGTCCACAAATCTCTATATAACAAACCAGCTCTAAAAGAAAAAAAAGCTTGACAGCAGAAGTATTTCATTTAGCTTATGCAAGGTGCCAAAACAGCTTGTACATCAGTTTTTTCTTCCTTGCTTTCATTTTTATGGTTTTTAAAGGCACCAGTGTGCACACATATAGCTGGTTGAATTGCAGTGTTGAAAAAGTAGTAAAGCATCCTAATTTTAGTGAAATATCACCAAGAGTTATGCTACTGAAATATTAAGTAACCTTTTACTGAAAAGTTTCTAATACCTTGCCTTGTAAGTAATGAAAGCTCAAGGCTTTTCATGCAGATACTACTAACACAGAGTAGCTCCTTGCTCAAGTTTTCATACTGACAAGGATGTGATACTTCAGATCCTGACTCTCTGTAAAAACTCCCAGATTCCCTAATACAGACATACACTGGAGTAGAACAGGGCTGGTTGTATCATCCAGGTCAGTTTAATTATAATTCATTAGGAAGCACAAAGCTTTTCACAATGCAGTAACCTGCTAAATAGCCTCATTTTAGTCACGAGACCCAAAAAGTCTTTGGCAAAAAGAGGAGAAAAAACAAAAAAAACCCCAAACCATCTTCCAAAAGCTGTTTTCAACTGCTGAGCTGCTATCTTTGTTGTTGGACAAAGGACAATACACTGCAACAGCCTTTTAAAGGCACACAAAAAGCACCCAGAGCAAAGATTGCTACTGCTTTCAGCCAGTTTGGCAAGCAGAACAAATTTAAATACGCAGAAAAGCAACAACAATAGCAAAGTTCAATTCACGATACTCAAAAATAACACAACATTCATTCTCCTATAATAAAGCCATATCATATTCCCCAGATAAAGCTGTAACACAGAATATCACAGCTTCTAACTGTCCCACATACATTCTAGAAATACAATCCAGACTATTTTAAACCTACCTGTAAAAGCAGGTGATGTACTTAGGTCTAAACCTTCAATACTTAGAGGATGAACTTATGATTTGGTTGGCTGTTGGGTTTTTGTGTTGTTTTTTTTTTACATAAAAAAAAATTTAAAACCACACACACACACTAACCTCAGAGGGTTGGTTAAGTGAAAATTCGTTCTTCACTGGTAGCGTTAGCACAGACTTCATCTTTTCACTTTCCGCATAGTCCACAGGCCGCAGACCAAATATATTACTGGCAAAACAAGCACAGATGGGTTTAAGTAAATAAAATGTGACTTGATTCTTAACTAACTGGGCACATTAGCTGGGTAGCTTTCCCTCCCACTTTCTTATTAATATGTAATTTCAGTTAAAAACCACAAAGCTTCAAGTAAGAATTGCATCCAAGACAGATGGATACCCAATTACAAGCTGCTGCATTCAGCTGAGGAGCAAGGGATGTTCAGAGCAGCATGTCCAGTTAAATAAACCACACTCCCTGTTAAACTGTTTCAAGATGCACTTCGATATCATTTACAAGACCCAGAAATTTCAGCTTTAATCTTTCATTGCAGTCATATAACCAAGAAATGTATTTCTGGCTTACTCATTTGCCATAATAGACATGTCAGAAGATTCTACATACTGTGTTAAACACTGGAGCTTGATGCGGTTATGCTTTTATGGAAAAAGCTATCTGCTTCTACTTGGGAATTGCGGGTCCCTCACACTTCCAAAATTTGAGTATGCATCTCATTTTCCCTCAGCATGCTGTGCCACAGAAGACGACAGCCAATTCATTCAGATTTTAGTTGGTTTGCCAATTTTGTTGAACACTATTCAATCCTATGTGGCACCTCATAGTTATTAGACATGCTTCAAGACCCATTTCCTCCCCCATTGTTTTACCGTTACTCAGACAGATACGATTTGCTAGAAACACAACATCAAGCACAGCCATGGCTTCTACCTCTTCTTCACACAACTTTGCAGCTGCAGGGCAGTAGCGAGTGGAGGAAAGCTAAAACCACAGAATAGGTGTAATTGCCGATAACAAACATGTTCCTCTGCCAGTACTCTTGGAAAATATTCTGCTTGCTTTGCCCTTTTGTGAGAACAATGGCTATTCCAGCTGATCCCCTTCTCCCTACCTCACGTAGCTCCGGCTTTCAAAAGGCATAATAAGAGCTCGTTATGAAAGCAAAGCTTGTCGCCAAGAACAAAGCCCTGACTCAGTATCTGAAATGCAGCACGCTTAGTCATCAAACAATGACACATTTAAAGAGGTCAACAAGCCACCACATCTTCAAAGTGCTGTCTCTTAGTTAGCCACATGTTCCTGGGCAGAGTAGGAATCTGGGAAACTTTATAAGGAATTTCACATAAGGTCATAACCGAATCCAACTCAAAGAGAGGCTCAAACCATGAAGTCTTCATTCTGACTTAATCGAGGGGGGGACTTTGGCCAGAGCAAAGCTGAAAGATGCATCTGAGCTCAGCACCTTTCTATGTTCCTGCTCTGCTCACTAACACAGCCTCTTAGGAAAACAGCAACCCATAGAAATCCCACACAGAAAATTCCAGGATGGTATTTTAATAACAAATTTTACAATATTAGCGCAACGCCAAGCTCTTCTATGTTACTAATGAGTGAAGAGTTTGCAGAATACAAGTTCTGCAGAAAGATAATTGGTTAAATCTCAGGAGTTGCAGCCCATTAAATATTGTCATGCTGTTCCTGCTTTGTCATGCACCATCAGGGTAGCTCTTGCCCTTTCTTTAAATAAAGACCAGATTTGACTCAAACGGCTGCAGGACAGTTCTTTTGAACAATGCATCCGGGAGGAAGGGGGAGATTAAAATATTAGAACATCCAGTGAAATCACTTTTAGACTAGATTGCTGACTTTCTTCTGTAAACTAAGCAGGTGGAAGAAATCACTGCACGTCAGTAGCCATGATTCAGCAGTCAGTAGGGAGGGTCCTCCCCACCAATGCCACAGGAAGATCATCGACTGTTGGAAAAAACCTCATGAACATTTACCATAGGCCACAGTTAAATACAGAACTTTTTTGCCAATTAAACTGGACAAATCAGAGGTCCAGCTACATCCTCTGTATTCACTTCCTTTTTTTTTTTTCCTCCATTTTTAAGATGATTTCACTAACTTCTTACCAGTGTGTTGCAAAATACTCTCTCATCATTACACAACATTGCAGAATTAATCACTATTCATAGGATGTTAATGTGGCACAATTAAAGTAAAATGTGAGAGACTTGGGAGCTGAGGTCTGAAAAAGGAACACCCATTCAAGGGGTGGGTTTAAGAGTTTTTAACACTTGCAAGAAAACAGCTTGTTGAGCTTAAGGAGTGTGAGAAAAAGTAGCTGGGTTGATGGCCTTCGCTGTTCCTCATCTTTCCCTGTGCTGCTGGCGTTCCCATCTCCTGTTTTCGCACTGCAGAGGAGCTCTCTTTGATGGGACGGGTCACCTTCCTCAGCTCGCCCACCGACTGCCAGTTGTGCCAGGCAGCCCCAGAATACTTATCCTGGTGCTCTCAAACCAGAACAATATCCTAACAACAGATTTCAAGTACGGTATTGTTGTAATTTACACATTCTTTTCAAAGAAAAAGGATGAAAACTAGATTTGCTTTTTTAGCTAGGCACCCAATAATCACCCCAAAAGTAATCATGATCAGAAAGAGACCTTGCCCAGCCTCTGTTGGGCTGGTACACTTAGTGCACTTACTTGACTGACCATTTTTAACATATCAGGTATGTATATTATTTTTAATCCTATGATCACAACCAAGGAGCAAATCTACACAGCCACAAAAACACCAGTAAGGCACAGGAATGGGAAACAAGCTTTTGGTAGAAATGTTTGCTCAAATCTGTCTTTATTCAGCCACCGTGAACAAGAGAAAACATCCACCTTGCTCAAAGTAAAAAATGAACTTAAATTTTGATTTACAAAACTGATTGAGAAATGCACATTAGGTCCACCCTAACACACAAACAAAGCATTTTAAGAAGTACCAGTAGCTATGTTTGTGTGCTCCTACTGTAGGTCTGGGTTTGCTGAGAATGAGTCCAGCGCAAGTGACTACTTAACAATACAAGTCCCACACTCAGAACAGACATAGTTGTTTCTACAAGAGAGAAATAAATGTTTCTGTTGCTTAAGCTAAAATATCAGGTCTCTAAGGCATAGTTCTTTCTACCAGAATGCAAGCGGTGTTTTTGCAAGTTGTTTTAAACATTCAAGAGTCAGATGTATCCTTTGATGCAAACAGTCTCCCATTAGTCAGTCATCAAGGTACTGAACAGTCAGGAGAGGGCTCTTGCAGCTAGAACAAATTCCAATCAAAGAGGAGGATGTCTCTGCTGAGAACAAAGATGAGCCCAATGAAGAGCATCTCAATGTAAACTGCTGAGTACGACTTTACATGAGATGACAGATGGTATCTTAAGGACTGACAGATCAAAGAACTTCTTAAGAAAAGCTTTAGAAATGGGATTCAGTTTATGGTGCATCACTTAAGTAGGAAGACAACAGAGGTTCCTGCTATGGTCAAAAGGAAACTTAACAGCTACCTTCTAAATGTTTCATTAAACTTTCAGGACATAAGCAACTAGAGGAGAGAAGATGAATGGGGAGACACATCCTAGTCAATTCTTTAGAAGCCCCAAACTTGCACAGCTTTTGATAAAAGTAAGCTGACTATATACTGCTCTGTAATTGGGAGTTTTCAGCTGTCCCAACTTGACACCAGAAGTTACTTGCTGAGCATAAACAAAGTTTTACTCCACAATAAAAGTTCAGCATTGAATGAGTCTCGCAATCTGGTCCCAGTGCAGTACTGTAACGACCATTTCACCTATGGAAGTCTGCCCAGTTTGGGGCTCTCCAGTCAACATCTCTATTCTGGTAGGCAGAAATTGGGTTTTGGACCCCAAAAGAAGGGGAAAAAAAATAGAATTTATCTGTGTAGTCAGAAAGATCCAAACAGGGCCAGGATTTTAATTAACCTGCTGTCAGAAACAGGAAGTTAAGCATACTGACTTGCACTTAGAAAGCAAAGTCCTGTACTATCCTGAACTTGAAAAAGCAGACAAAATTATGTCAGTGTCATGGTCTAACACCTCTTGGAATTAACTGCAGGTTATAATAGTTTTTGCCCCTATGCCACTCATAATTGATGAGCATGGTCTATCCCTACGCATTCCCACAGGTTTTTTTTTCATAATCAGACTCACAACTACTCAAAGACAGCTAACACCTAAAAAAAAATAAATAAATAGGGCAACACAACAATTTTTACTAATGCTAAACTTACTGTGCATGAAGAACTGGCAAGACAGTCCATTTGAGTGAAAGCATTTAGGAAGTACTGTGAAATTACAAATGCACAGATCTAATTTTTCAAATCACTTGGCTTGCTGTGAAGCAAGGAAAAAAAAGACAGAATTCAAGAGTTAGCACATGAAAAAAAAGCTATAAAAATAAAAATTAGCTATGTGTAGGAGATTAACTTAAAAAAATTAACTAGACCAGCAGGACAATTAATAGGTCCACTGGTCCATACAATATTTTTCATTTGTAGTTCATATCCTTCCCAGTCAGTGAAAACTTCAAACGGCAAATGAAGTGTCACAACTATTAAATCTTAGAGATTTAAAAAATAAAAAAAATTGCCAAGCCATACTGAAATCCCAGGACTGCTTTCTGCTGAAGGAGGTAGTCCCCATCCATATTCGCTTGGTCCAAAAGATGTGTAACTGCTTCATACTATATATAGTTGCTTCTTAATGCACTATGTTTTAACATGCAAGAAGAAAAAGAAAAAAATAGCCTGAAAAACTCTTGGAATGAGATGCGCTTGATGGGCCTGGGAACCCAATGATCCAAACCTGCAAAGTCTCAGCTCTCTGCTGGCTAGGATTATGCCAATATCCACGCGTCTTATGAACTGAGGTCCCTTAGAAAGCAGGTGCATTTGCTCCCAGACACACCTTGCATCCCTCTACAGAGCAGTGGATTTTAGCCGCCTTTGGGCCTGCAGTCAGTAAATATTGCAGAGATTTCAAAAAATATATTTCATCTTGCACAACTGAGTGTCATATTCAATTTCAAAACTATTCCTCCAAGCTGGCTGTTCAACACAAGCTCTGTTTTTATTCCAGTAGATTAACTCTCCAACACACAAGGGACATTGAGACGCAAAACTATGGCCAAAACTGCAGCAAGACATCAGTCACTCTGGTGAGGTTTCATGCTATATTTTTCAGAATGTCCCAAGTAACATTTGAATACATTTATCATGTTCAGATTTTACTTGGCTTAGCTAAAAGAATTTCAGTAGCCACAGTGAACTAATGAAACTTTCCTCCCTGTCCCTGAGAGGTAATGAAGAATCACTTTAATATGCTAGGATAGAGAGGGCTCTCTCCTGGGCTGAAAGTTAGTTCATTGAAGAGCCCACAAAATGACTAGGAAGTTTCATAACAACAAAAAAAAGCCCTAAACAAACAAAAAAACCCTCAACAAATTAGTCTGGCAAAATTGGTTTGGCTCACATACTGCATGCCCCTAAAGTTAAGCCACTCCTCAGGTATATTTCTGAAAAAAGTAAACTTTTGAAAAGAGATGTAAGCCCTACTCATCACTGCTTAACTTCTACTCCTAGAGCAACAAGGCAAAGGTGAGTAGATCCTGCATTAAGTACAAAGAGGCCGATTATAACTAGTCACACTGAAAAACTATAATTGTACCATCTTAAGTGATCACCCTGTTCTTGCCTCCTGTTTTTAAAACTGCGGTGTACAGGTCTCAGAGATCTAGAAAAAATGTCGGTGAACAAAAGCCAGCTTCACGTCAGATGTAACTTCATTATACAGCAGTCTGCATCTACAAGAAAAAAAATTATACCTTCTAAATTGAAGGAGGTTTATTTCCACTTACCTAGACAAATCCAACCATTGTTTAATTAGGACTACAATTACCAGAAGCAGTGGCAGAAAAAACCCTGTAAGATTTGCAAAGTCATGATCCAGGGAGAGATCAGAGCACAATTCATTGCCAGAAGCTAGCAGGGCACAGGAAGAAGAGAGGCACAGGGCAGATCCTCAGAAATCTCAGACATACAATTCTTCTTTCTTGGTAGTATTTGGAAGAGCTCAGTGAAGTCTCACTACTCAAGCTTGAACATGTTGCATGTACATCCCTTTCTCTGTGCCTCTAATGCTCTCTGTAAAAATGAGGAGGACAGGGAACACTCACCCAAATCAAATCTTTCTATCAGCAATGCAACAGTATCTGGCACAGTAGCACTTTAGCCACAGATAAAGAGCCTACACCAGATTTGGAAGCCTCAATTTTTCCAGAAGGTCATACAGGACTGGATTTTTTGCCAAAGCACCTGCTAGTTCCTTTTGCTAGACCAATGAAGCAAAGATTAAAAGCGGCTAAATTTGCTACCAAAAGTTAAAAGAAATTCATATATATTTATTAACACCACGCACTAGACATTTCAAGTGCTCTGGAGATGAAGTCGAGAACAGTGCAGTTAGAAGTGGGCTAGAAGCTATTTTTGATACTTAGAGGTACTGCAAGAGAAAGCTAGTTGCAGAATTGTGACATAACCTATGTCACACTGTTTTAATACAAAAGTGAACATTACCTGTGTTTAGTGAGCCAGAGCTTAGGGTTTACATATATCTTTCACTCCATGACTAAAAACCTCCTGTTTCAATAGAAAGCCACGTTTGCTCATGTAGAATGAGCTGAAAGAGGGTCAGCTTCACCTCAGTTTGTGCGAACACATGCGGCAGAGACTAAGGCTAATACCAGACCTGAAGAGTCCCTGCTGGCCCTCGGATTCTCTGCTGTGCAAATCTTCCAGGGCTTAAACCTGTCAAAACCTTGCATCAAAGTCAAAACCTTGCATCAAAGTTGTCGTCTGTGCTGCGCTTTCAAACGCCAGATAGACAAGCGATAAGTGTCACACAACCAGTTCCCAATATTCAAGTGGCCTGAAAATTAGTTTCTGAAGCTGTCAGCTTTTCAAGGTGTAACACACTGGTCTTTGTTGTTCAAGAGCAAAGTGAAGGTGAACAACTGATCCTTGTTTTACTTTTTCATGCTAAAGTTCTGTAGGTTTGCTTTGTTGTTTTGTTTTTTATAACTCTAGCCTATTAAAGATTAGGAGTGTTTTTCAAAACCTGATGCTTTTCCACAGAGTACCTTAATTCTGTAAGCTTCAAGAGCAAATATTGAGAGCTGAAGTGATTAAGCTGAACTTGTTTATGCTTTTTATGCAGCTGGCAAGGAAATTCATGTCATGCAAGACTTCATCCTATTGTGTTACTATATACACACAGTTATTGACAACATGCATTGGACTTAAATTTTATACACACAAGCCCTGGCACAACAGCAATACTACACCACCTAAAATCACATTTAGTGCCTGAAATACTAATAGCTTGGAGGGTTATTCATAGACTAACAGATTCTTTAGCACCTCCTATGCACAAATATCAAAAGCTTCAGGAGGTGTAACTGTATGGAAGATTCAACTGAAAATATTTCTAAGTTTTTATTTCCTTTTTTTTTTTTTATAATTTAAAAGTGCACCAAGGATTACTGGTTTGATTCAGAATGAAAAAAAAAAAAAACAAACCAACATTCCCCAGATCTTAGCTCATGTCTATGGCATTTGTGAGGGTAGAAGAGACTGGACAGAAACACCACCTGCTAGCAAGTAGTGTAGTAAATGTAAAGAGACAAAAACCAGCTGTAGCAGTTCAAAACTCATCTAGCTCAGCATCCTAGATCTGTCATTAGCTGTAACAAGATGCCAGTGGGCAAGTGTAAGAACAGGGTGAGCATATTTTGTTACTGTACTAGTACAGTCTCGTACACTCTGGCCATCTACAGCTTGGACATCCTCAAAATGCTTAAGACAAAGCAAAACAGAAACACCTACCTGGAAAAGGGAGATGAAGCATAACAGCATATGTTTAACACCCAACTCCTCACTTCAAATCACATTTATCACCAGCTTTGCTTCACAGTTACTTAACATACACCCTGGAAGTTGTAGCTGTAGCTAATACCAAGGTTAAAACAACATCCCACATCTACTTACACCGCATCACGAGAGGCACCATGCAAAAGCAGGAGCTCAGCAATGCTCACATGCCCGTTCCTGGCAGCATCATGAAGCGGCGAGTCGTTCTGATAGCCCGTAGTATTCACCAACGCCTTGTATTGTAGCAACAGCTCCACCACTTCTTTGTGCCCATGATTACACGCCTCGTGCTAGTTGGGTAAATCCGTAACCAGGAGAGTGAGAAAAAACTCAGGTGAAACAGAACTCAGAGAAAGGACCTCTGTCACACCAGTTACTGCGTTCATTTTCAAACACCCCTCAGTGATGGTCGGGGAAGATGACGCAAGGATTCTGCATTACATTCCTGACACGAATTAACCTTGGAACCTGGCACTAATAAAAAGCACAGAGAAGAACTGAACAAAGGCCAACTGTGTGCAAATTAGACTACAGGGAACAAAGCCTCCCAGATTACAGACTCTGTCAAGAGTATTCTTCAGGAGAGGAAGAAGTCATGGTTGGAAAGAACTTTTTGTTTATTTTCTGTAGTTCAGGTGAGCAATGTGATATATTTCCAAAATGGTACACAACAGTGAGGGCATTAGGCACTCATAAGTGATACACATCATCTCCAATTGATTGTTTTCTAGTTATCATGGTTATATTTTCCTCAGCTGCAGAATCACAGCCTGACAGATTTCTTGCCAGGCCCTACCCTAGCAGAGGAGAGGTGGATTTGGGTAGGTCAGTAGTTGCTGATAAAACTCTTTTAAACTTGTTTATAGTCAGCACTTTGCTTTGCATAATTCTTTGCCGCCTAAGTGCATGTAAAGGTAACTAAAATATGGGAGAGGAAAGGAGGGATGAAATGAAATCTGATTAGAAGACAGATTGCAGAAAAGAAAAAAAAAAGTCTTCAACACTCACCAGCGGTGTCCAGCCAGCATTATCTTTGACATTGGGATCTGCCCCATTTTTCAGCAGCTGTTCAACAGCTGCTAAGTCACCCTACATAGGAAAAGCTACAGTTATTAATAAGTAATGAAGACAATACACAAAGACAACAAAAATAAATGTGGAACGATAAATTTAGCTGCAATAAAAATGTAATGATACAAGTCTTCATTTGGATATCATCAGAACAAAACTCAACTGTTTTGGAGACCATGGTTTATCATCACTGCTCATTTAGAAGCACCTACATATTTTACACAAATATATCTTTTTAGATAAAAATGATGCACATAGACTTATCTTAGAATAAACAGACAAGTTTGTGCTGATTGCAATCTGCCCACTAGAATCAACTGCAAGGATTAAAATCAGGAACATTTATTCAGAATTTCCTTGTCTTTCAGACAGGATTTTTTCCAAACTAAGAACACTATATTCAGTTTTTACTATAATCAAGGAAATAAATACATGTGGAAAAGAGTAGAAACTAATGCAGGGATTACAGGAAGAGACAAGAGGCCAAATAGAGACAAAATGAAGGAATCAGAGGTTTTGACACTGGTAAAAGTAAAAAAAAATTGGTAATAAGATTGGAGCATATACAGGTGCAGCAAAAATAGGGAAGAAGTCTCCTGCAGAAGCTGAGGCAAGGAAATCTCTGCAGTGCAGGTCATCTTAAAAGCAGGTAGGAAAATAACCCAAAGAGACCAAACCCAGACTCTGACCCCTTTCTCCCTTCACAGCACCATCTACACCCCAGCACACTGGTACTTAAAACTCGCTTTGCACCTTGTCAGCCAGTTCATGCTTCTGGCAGTGGTTACTACAGAGTAGCAATTGCAAAGGTCTGCTCTACTGGAAGAGGTGCCATGAATTCTGTGCCAAACTTTTTGCTGCAATGCCGGGAACCCTTCACAACTAACGGGGCCAGGCTGTCTCACACCTCTCGGCATCAAGTACCACCCCTGAGGTCAAAGCAATGATTTACCTGCACCGTTACTGATTAGGAACAGCTACACACCATTTCTCAGCTGACGGAAGGGAAGGAGACTGACCAAAACTACGCAAATAATGCAAGCTTTTCAAAAGCTCAACTAGCATAGCAGGCCTCGAGTATCTTCATGGCTTGCTACTAATGCCCAAATTCCTCTTATTTTAGAGTGAGGGTTCTTCTTGAGTGGGTGGGGTTTTTTTGTTTGCCTAGGTTTTAGGATCCATTTCAAGACAACCACTAATACCTTCCCTAGATCACAGTACCGCATTCTCCAATGAAAAGACTAATATACAAACTTATATCTAGCTCTTTCGCTAAGCCAGACGTGCACAA